CAGAGAAAAAGAGGAAGACCCCCAGCAAGATGGATTGGCCAAGTGGCAACATCAATGGACTCAAGTGTGGAAATGGTAGTGAAGTTGGCCAAGGATCGGGCAGTGTTTCGTTCTGCTGTGCATAAGGTCACTATGAGTTGGTTCTGACTTGATGGCACCTAACAACAATTGTGAGAAATAACTCTTGTCGTCCATCTTCAGGAATTCATGAGATTGCAAGACCAGACAGACAGATTGTTGATTTAAGCAGGCTATTCTGGGACTAGGAAATTTAAATAAAAATACAGCCATTAAGAACTTGGGCTAGTCATTCTGGCTTTGGTGGGGGGAGGGAAAATGTGATGTACCATAGAATTGTATATGGAGAACTGGAACTAGAGGAGGGGCTTTTGGGGGGGACAAGAATAAAAGCCGTTTGTGGAGGGCCTTATGGGTGTCTGCCCGTGGTGTCTATGTGTCTGATTTTGCAAAATCGAATAAAGAAAACCTCACTCTCGCTAAAAAGAGTACAGATTGGTTTACTTGAGCATTTGTCACTACAGAACTGTTTCTCACACAATCATCTATTTTGTCCACTTTTGTTTGCATAATTTTCAAAATGTTTGGTAGTCTGTGTATGCCCTGTATTAGGGCCCTCACATTTGTCCCTATTCTTTCACTGATAGTCTGTAGAATTCTGGGATTCACATTTTGGTCTTTAATGCATGCTGAGTTGGTTTTTGTATAAGGGGTGAGGTAAAGATCTTGTTTCAGTCTTTTACATATCACTCTCCAGTTCTGCCAGCATCATCTGTTGAAGAGACTATATTTTCCCCATGCACTATACTTAGACACTTTGTTGAAAATCAGTTGGCTGTATGTGGATGGGTTCATCTCTGGATTCTCGATTCTGTTCCATTGCCCAATGTATCTTTCATTGTACCAGTAGCAGGCTGTTTTGACCACTGTAGCTGTGTAGTAAAATTTGAAGTTCGGGAGTGAGAGGATTCCAATCTTATTCTTCTTCTTAAGCAGCACTTTGCTTATCCTGGGTCAATTCTTTCTTGACAAATGCAGTCAACATATTTTGTGAGCCAATCATAGCTGGAGCTCCATCTGCAGTAAAGCCACTTAACTTTTCAAATGTTAGCTCAAGTTTTTTCATTGATAAACAAGTCTCTCAAAGAAGTCCTCACCCCTTGTAGTGAGGTGCTTGGCTTCCAGTGACAACAGTGCCTCTCAAGTGTCAAACTAGAGTTATTCCACAAATGACTATTCCACGAATGACAAAGGTCAGTTGGGCAGTATTTGTTATGTGGATTGTCTCATCACAAGCCAGTGAGAAAAACTGGAAATCTCCTGCAGAGACCCTCAATGTTTTGTTAATACCTTGTGCCAAATCAGTAATCCGATCTGAGATGGCTCTCTGAGACAAACTGTTGTTGTTACGTGCAGTGGAGTCGGTTCCGACTCATAGCGACCCTGTACAGGGTTTCC